TTTGCAAATGTGACCGCTATTGGGCAATACTGGGCAATATCTGTGCAAACTTCAGTATTTCACGATCAGTAAGTGTCGATATCACTGTGGTTATGATGTTAAATACATAGAGACAGAAAACAAAATACATTCGCATATACAGTATATATATCGATTCCAATATGGGATGGAGAGTAAGTTGATATCACGAAAGTTTCATATCATTGAATATACGGTTACAGAAAGTTTATTTCTAAATGAAATACATCGGTACATTTTTAACTATTTGCGGATACAAAATATCTGTCAAAACGTTTGAAATAATAATAAGGGACTCTACCCACACAAAGGATTTAGCTTTCAAAGGAATATTAACATTATTTTGGGTAAATTTCATATTCCAAAGAAAACTAACAATGATATAGACGGGGCAGACTATCAACTGCTTGTTAAACCCCGGGTTACACTGTGACTCCATTTTATATGGCTCACCCTACCCCAACCCACCATCATCACCACGCCCACCAAAAAAAGAGTCTCGACCGATATCTTATGCTGTCGCTAGCCTTGGGGACATTGATGATAAGGGACAACTAGAGCTATCCAGTTCTCACCTAATTTCTTATTTCTTCTAATTTCTGTTTGACGTCTTCGTGCCGAGCTTGGGATCAATTGGCGTAAGATGTCCCGGAGTCTTGTGTTATCTTAATATTGGAGTCCAGTGGGAAATTCAGGAGGTCATAAATCGCACTAGAGTAAGGTATCTTGAAATTGCAAGACTGCACGGCACACTATACTGTAGCTCTATATAGCACATTACGAAACGTCTGACTGAAAGAACACTTTGGGTACTGTAATGACGTGTGCCGCACCTGTTAGATAAAGTGCCTGTCTGTCGCAGAAAGCCACACTAATATGTCGCTCAGAAGATGCAAATGGCTAATGTGATCTCCTTAAAGTTATTGTTCAGGACAGCTGAAAATCACACCGCTCCCAAACAAAGTCAATGGTATTCAGAAGTAACCTGTTGCTTTGTCGCATCATAATTCCTGTCTAAAATTAAATTGCATCACATACTCCAAACTGTGAACATAAATCACATATGCGTTCTGACGTAGTCTCTTCTGCCAAAGTAGATGCGCTTACTGTGCATCTGGGGACTTCAGCGTAAACTTAAAATCCAGTTTTAAGGGTATTGATAACACGTTTAATTTTCTATTATTAATTACACAAAACGTAGCATATTAACACAGAAACCAACATCAGCTTACGGATTTCAGGTACAACCAAAGCCACAACATTTATGTATCCCGATATTACTAATTAATATATTATTTAACTAATCAACTAGCCGTCTCTTGAACTCGAAAGCAAAGTACAACTCGAAAAAAGGCAGGTTAAGTCGGGTTTAGGATCCTTGTGACATGTGTTGAGTTGAACAAAATTAAATAAATAAGATGGGTGCGTTATATATTTGGTCAACCACATCTTATTCTGCATGTTTGAGTTTTCAGCACGTTTGCAGCCTTTAAATATTTTGACTCAGTAAGGCCTGAAAGGCAGAGTATTAATCTTTCGAACCTAAAGACAGCAAGACGCTGAGTAAATAATATATATGAACCGTGCGGTGCTCTCTATCCATTTCAAAACGAAGATCTGTCAGGTGGTATTTAACAGGAAAAACGCAATTATGATCCTCAAACATACTTGTTTGATGTTTAACTATAACGTGTCCCAAACTGTGAATAGATTTTTTAGTTTTCATTTAGTATATCAGATTTGTTTTTTTAAGACAAGAGTATTCAACTACATTCTTTACTTTGTCTACCATTATCGATCATGTCGTACTTGTTTTATTAGAAACTTCGTCATACATTGTAAATATTTTATTAGAAACCATCGCCACTGCCTGTTTACCTCCAGCATTATAATAATTTGCTTAAACCCCCCACTTAAATAGCGCATTTTCTTTAGCATATATTTTCTTTATATTATTCTTTAAAATAAATTCTATATTTTAATAATACAAGTGAATTCAGTCCGACATAAACATCCATTCAAAATTAATAGCTTTGATCACGCGGCAATCAACTGTCAAATAACATGTTTATGTTAATAAGGATGAATTATGATTATTAAGCATTTTAACTCCTAACACTTTTTAATAGCAAATGCCTACATTTTCTCTCCTTAATTAAATTACATTACGTTTCTAGTTTTGTTGTCTTTGCGTTTGAATTTTATTGATATTTTCAAAGACCACGTTATAACTCACTTTAGTTAAGACGCGGTGGATACAAGGGATGCAACGATCCGATTGAGTATTTTATGATTTCCGAAGGTCAGAAAAAAGGGCAGCATTCGGCTCGTTGGCAGGGGAAAAGAAACGGTTTTACATTTAGAGGCATTACGGTACGGAGTCGGGCGGCGAGTACACCTGGCTCATCAGCGCGCGGCGCCAGCGGGAGTCAAAACAGGAAGCGCCGGCCGGGATGGTTGTCTGTCCCAGCGCCTTGCATTATATCAAGCTCTTTTAAACGCGTTCACCAACACCGATATATTTTAAAGCAGAGTTAATAAAACGACATTTCTTTTGATTTTCTACCTACAGTGTCATGGTATTGTTTTCAAGTAGAGCATAACGATTTTGGCAACGCAACTGAAATACTCGCTTGATATAGCCTGCATCGTTAAAATTGAGAATCTTTTTTTTTTTCTTAGGTTTGGGAAAAAAAAGACTTCGCATTGCTCTCCGGCCTTGTATGCGAAGCCTGTTCAAGCTAGACGCCCAGAGAAAAATGAGGAAGCAGACTATTCAGGCTGGGTACCACGAATTCTGAGGGACGAGATGATTTTCACGTTGAGCAGCGCATTCCTTATGGTAAAAACTACTAAACCAAAAATATTAAATAAACAAACAAGCAAATAGACTAGTGACAGACAAATGCTAGCACTACGAAGACTATTGATTGATGTGGGAATATCACTTTGCTGAGTTAATCCGACTAGACCGATCATTCCAACTGCTTCATTCACTTTTCCGAGTCTTAGCTTCAAGAGACAATAATAATAAAACAATTCCTAGCTATAGAAAGGGGACCGTATAAATCGTATTTGTCTCACAGTTTTATATCAAGTGTAGTCTTTGTAAATGCGTATAAACACTACCTCGCTCCACCACCTTTCCTACACTGCAGGTATATGGCCTGTTCTTGAGAAGAAGGGGATAGGATACTTATGTACAAAAGAAACAAATACCAAAAAGCACAAGACACTGTTTTTACAAGCCTAGGCCAACAAGAAAAGCCTGTATCTTACGCATATGGGCACTTTCAATCTTGGGAAGACGTTTCTGTGTACATTTGGAAAAACAACAGAGCTACTCCAACCTGTATTCCATGCGGAGACTTGTTAAGAGAAATGCTTCACCGAGTGTGTACAGAGCAAGCAAGTATCTGTTTGTATACTGCAGGGGATAGTGTTAAAATCAACACAATTTGGCTAAGGAACAACATTCCTGTTTGCGAGTCTCACTGAAGAAAACGAGGATTTGATTTACTTTTCAACTGGGTTTTGAGACAAAAAATATATATATATGCAAAAGCTAGACCGAAAAAATAAAGTATGCTTACAATCAGGAGAAAAAACTAGCAAGCACGTGAATGTGTTCTGTTTAGGACAGAGTGCAAGAAATTGAATATATTTCAGCGCCAAGCGTTCAGGGTGAACTTTTTTTTATAGTTGAATATGGTTAATTTAAACTCACACTGGCCTATATTACATTGGGAAGCCACAGACTAATGTCTGCCAAGGCCTTTCTGTGGCGATGGCTCGGCTCTGGCTCCGCACTGCGCACATCAGTCGACCTCTGAGCGCATTCCTAAACCGACTCTTCCCTTTTTATCAGCTCCTGATTTTTATCTGTTATCACCTTAGTATTTACAAAGGACTCTTCCGACATGGAAATGATGAAGTGTGTTGGTATCATGGGCAACATCACACAGGTTAGAAAAGACAAGGCGAAAATATAAGCCTGTACATGAGCGATTTTAATTTACCTTGGTTGAAAGGAAAAACAGAATTTGAAGATTTAAAGTAATAGTTACTGGCTAACACACCCCTTTCAAAAGGGGGTAAGTTTCGAAAAACTACATGGGCCATAAGGAAGCTTGACTGTTCATTCAAAATTATAATGTAACTGAAATGACTGTGAAAACTTATACCATTCCTATTTAAAATACAAAACAGTTGACTATACTACACAGGTCTAATACAGCACGTATCTAAACCTCGCGTTGTTAAATGTATCGTATAAAAAACACACTGAAAATTGGGGACATGCATATCGTCCATACACCCCTAAAAAGGTCTTATGCTGTCGAGAGGCTTGGTGTTGAACGTCCCTGCTTCTGTAGACATTCGATTGCTTTATAAGGTGGATAATCAAGGCTGTTCAGATGTTTTATACCTTCGTTTGCATCTACGCCTAATAATTGATTTTTATTGTTAAGCGATATCCCCAATGCAATCCTATCGTTTGTCTATCCAGCGTGCGAATACAAATAAACACTTAAAACAAATAGTTTTTTTAAGTAGAAAGTAAATCCGAATTATCACTAACTAGGTTATCTCATTAGCGGATATCCAACTGGCTGTGTGTGTTATCATAGCGCTTAAGTGTAAATTAGATTCTATCTAAACATCCAGGAGCTCCACAAAACATAACTTTTGTTACTATTAATTATTTATGAACCTTGATAATCCGATAAGTAGTCAGCATTTTAGAACGGCAATATTATATCTCGGAGACGTTCAAGAAAACTACACCTCCTGTCTTACGTGGGGACGCGTTTGCTATTTGTTGATTCTGCAACACACATTCTGACCTTAGTTTATCGATTATAAATCATCACCACTCAGATTTCAGCCTTGGGACAAACAAATAAATTGTGTTTATTTAAATAGATCAATTGCATGAAAGTTAAAAAATAAAGTCTAAAAATGAAACTCCTTTAGCCTTTCACAAAAAAAAACTACCAACTCGTTTGCAAAAATAGAAAGGTGAACCAATTTTAAATAAGGTCAACACTTATTTCACATGTTATAATTTCCACTCGCAGGTCATGTGCAGGGGATAGAAACGCCATACTTCAGAACCTGGAATCACAAACAAAATAATACGATTTTTTTTTCGCATAATACATTCATTTAGACACGCTGGCGATAAGTGCTACAGGCCCTCACCGTGAATTTAGGTTGCCATCGATATTGATTAGCCATTAGGAGTCAAATTGTTTGTCTCTAATGATTTCATGCGTTTCCTTTGACTTGAAAGAGCAGACGTCGATGTGCGCCTTAAACGCAATTAATAATGATAAAAATTAAAGGAATATCCACTCATTTTTATTGTCTACCAACTCATCTAAGTTTACTTACCCGAGTTACTTTTTGTTGCTTCGAATTACACATTACGTCTATCCTGTTCTAAGAAATAAGGAGCAAAATTCAACACAGATCGATAACCTCTAATAACATGAACTACTCCTGTTTAATCGGTAACATAAAATATTAACCTTCCTTAAATTCGTCGAATGTATCCAGCCAGGCAGCATTTCAACTAAAAACTGAAAAGATAATACATAACGAATAATTAAAAAAAAACCGTTCACGGTACCACGGCAATAAATCTGATTTGCTGTTTTTACTGTATTAATGAAGCCGGACATCCTCAGTGACGTTCAGGGTTTTTTCGCAGTGAATTCAAATTTGGTGCTGTGATTGACAAGGTCCTATTCAAATAAAACATCCCGTGGAAAGCATGCACACTTTTTTTTCTAGCTCTGCACGGGAGGCGTGGAGCTCTCACATTTGACATACTCTCTGCAGTAGCTTCTCTCCTTAAGGCAGACTAGCAAACTCTTATGACATCATCCAGCCACTGAATGGGGGGAGTTCGCGTTTAAAGGAACAACTTTTGTGGATAAATCACTATTAAAAATACAGCGAGACGCATCTCAAGCCAGCGTTATGTTTCAGAATATCGATTTAGTAGACCAGATGAGCACTTTGTCGTGCTGACAAATACTTTTAAGCTTGTCCGCGGGAATAATTTGTTGTTTTGAAAACAGTTGAGTACACTGTAAAGCCCCAAAGGGCCGCTTCAGCGAAGTCTGTAGCGTTGTCTTCTTATCCTAGTTTTTAATGTACATTTATGTATCTTTCCTGTTCGGATATTTGTTGGTTGGGGATAGCGCTGTAAGTGGTCAGGGAGAGACTGCTTTTTTCGACTGAAGTTTTCGCCTATGGACGACTGCAGTCCTCTCTCTCCAAAGGCAAACGCTTTCAGTATTGCCTCTCTGATTTCAGCGGCAGAACAAGCAGGAAACACAGCATTTGAAGAGCTCGGCACTGGCCTGGACAAGCATTACCAGCATAGCAGCTATAGATCCCTTAAAATGCATTACAGTACTGTCACCAGGGAAATGGAAGGTATGATTAAGATCTTGACAGCAGACATTTGTTTACTGCAGAATAACTATGTTAGTTCTATAGTCATAGTACCTTTGTAGCATGCAACTGTGAAATACTATTGCTGAGATGTCTTGCAAGTAACTAGGCATTAATGAATTTTACTGGAGTCTGTGCACATTTTGAAGTTCTTCCAAAAGGTAACAGCATGCTGTTTTAAAGTGAAATCTAATCGAAAAATGCATTCTCAAATGCAGAGTAATTGGGGGAAGACGGGATAAAAGATAGATGAATGATGTACAGTATATATCTGTGGTGCTATGGTAAAATATGAGCATAGTGACTTCCAAAGGTTCAATAAATACTTCAATTATGGGGAACCTTTTTTTACCCTTTCTTAGTTTGTGCTGTGCTGTACGGGCTTCTGCTTTCGTTATCACAACGCTACAAATGCAGGTGATAATATAGGGGATACTATCCCATAGGAGTAACGATGCAAACTATCGAAATGAGGGGAGAAGGGGGCGGGGGTATAGGGGCACGGGGGCGTATTGTATGGACAGCAAAAATGTATAGATAATGTAAAATTAGGTAACTCGCGACAGACGCATTGTCAATTGCACTCCATTTAACCAGGCGCTGAGTTGTTAATACACGTTCGGAAACTGAATGGCGAATTCGATCACCTTCATACATTATAGGTGATCATTAGTTCATGTACAATAGGTGTTTATTTACCTTGTCAAAGGGCACTCCGTAGTGCCAGTAAGCAGTCCTATTGTCCGAGAGGGTCGTTGTGGGCGATGCCCTTTATCCGAGAGTAAATGGGTGCCGGAAAGCCCATTAAAAGGGGCGCACTTCTCTGTCAATCAACTTCGTCCCAAGGCGAGGAAAGGCACATTACCTGCAGTTCCTTATCTAAATAGAAATAAGAACCGGTTTTATCGTGAAGGGGAGGCCCTATGCAAAGATAAGAGGGAAGTCTGGATTGCGGTGTTGCACAGAGCAGTAGCGCAGCGTACAGACCGATTGGGACACTTCTCAGAAATCTGTTCAAGGGAGCGCCTGTGTGGGAAAGCTACGAAATTAAGAGCTCTCGCTCTTCTTCTTTAAATAATAAATCTCGACACAGATATAAGTATTCTTCTATTTTAAAAAAAACGGACTCTGCAAATTGTATTACTTGCCCTTCGGATGTAAGTTCAATGTTTCGTTGACAAAGAACTCTGCGCAGGCTAGGTGGTCTTGTAAATCTTCAAGCCAACAGATCATTTTGAGAGAAAAAAAACTGTAAACCGGAGGAGACACTACAGCGGAGATGAATGGAAAGACCTTTTAGACTTACGGAAAGGATATTTTTAAGTGATCGGTTTGGGTCTTTACAGTTTGTTTTAGAGCTGGTCGTTCTTTAAAACAAGAAACGAGCTTTCCTCCGTTCGTATTTTACCTAACAAGAGCGTACCTACAGAGACGGAAAAGTGAGACCGGGTTTTGGAATGATTTCAGCAATTTCCAGTCCGTGGCTGACCCAGCTCTCCCATTTTTGCGATGTTGCAGCATTCACAACCAGCAGCCTCAGCAGTCTTAATGCGCCCGGGAGTTACCACCTCTCGCCTTCCCCAGGGGACCCGTACAGCCAGCATGAACCCCACTACGAGCCCTGCTCGGCCGCCCAGCACAGCTACAACTACACGGGGTCGAATCCGGCCCAGGCCCAGCAGAACGACAGCGGAACTTCCAACTGCTCCTCGTCATCCTCAAACTCCACTCCGAACAGCAAGCCTCCGGTGAAGAAGAACCCCAAAGTGGCCAACATTAACGTGCAACTGGAGATGAAGGCTCTCTGGGATGAATTTAACCAACTTGGAACAGAGATGATCGTAACCAAAGCTGGAAGGCAAGTAAATTAATTCATATCTAATTTGATCATATCTGATAGTTTTACAGAGGTGGTGTAATTCGGATTACACTGTCATGCCTGTAGCACAGAACAAAATAAAGGTTTCTGTCTGTTGGGGATTATGAAAGACAAGCCTTGTCTTCATATTTTCTGGTCTTTTAAGGTCCGATCAATTCCTCGTAGATGAGAAAATAGAGTTAAAAAATATTACAAGGACAAAATAACTTTCTCCCTACTCAACAAAAACACACACATGCAAACCACTGCATTTTAATTGTCAGTGAATTTCTTAACATTATATTTATGACGGAGAATATTTCTAATTTCGAATACGTATTGCTTTTTACACGCCACTGGAAGGTAATGTTTCCCACATAATCACATTTAAAATAAAATAATTCAATGACTTCCTGAAAAAGCATTTTAAAATGCATTCCTGCTGGTCGTTACAGACTCCTATATATAAATATTTTGCTTAAATTTACCGAAGCTATATAAGACTGTGACATTATCTATTTCGTATTTTATATAGAATGGCTGATGCGTTTAATATGCATGTAGAATAGGGTTTACACATAAAAATGTTTAAACGATGAAACTGAAGGTGAAGAAAATTAGAAGGCAACAAATCCACTTTATTATTAAAGAGGTGCAAATCCGTTAATATTAACGTATAATCTATACGAGACTCTTAATATTATAAATAAAAAGATGTTATAATGCAAAACGTAAACCATTAAAGATACGAAGACTTACACTGATTATAATAAGGTTTGCTGAAAGTGTCGGTGTGTTATAGAACGTACCCTATATCGGCCAATTCCAGTCAAAACATTTTTCCTTAGTATAATCCAGACGAGCTTTGCATAAACATTTATTGCAGTGATGATACAATGGAGTTAAATAAAATTATAAGTGGCTGTAAGTACACACTTTTCATTAATAAACACATAAACACGGAGCTTTAATTACAAATATCATCTGCAAATGTATGTCTGGATTTCGCCCGAAATGCCTTTTAAGAAAAATGTCTTTATTGGAGAATTGTCTAAGGTGGGTTGCTATAATTTATGGTTCTACAGTGGTTTAAAATTGTTAACTAAGGTACTGTCTTCAGGTACTGCCTTGTAAATGGCAGTTAAATATTCTGCTTGAAACAACTATTAAACTCCACTATTCCGACAAGTTCAAGCGATATTACAGTTTATTGAGCTCCACCTGCACTTCGGTAATTTACAACACCACGATTATATGCAACGAGTACAATTAATTTTATTAGAAAATGTTAAAAGACGCAAAAAAGAGAACAGAATTAACTTCAAGATTAGTTACGATCACTTTCTAGTGTTTTTTTTTCCAGATCAGCTACTGTTGGCCTAAAGCCTAAAACTTTTCAAACATATTCATCAAAATATTTATTGTGATTGTCTCTGTAAAGAGTAGGGACACATCCCATTTACGTAAAACACTACATATAATTTCTATCTATGTAAGTGCACGCTTTAGATATCATTGGGAATATATTTCAAGTTGAATCGTTTAAAACGCATAGGCCTACAAATAAAACATCAACTTGCTTTACTTTTAAAATATCTTTTAAGATTATTTCAGCCGTTTTCAAAACCCAGGTGAAGTGTTTAGTAAGGGATCCATATATATGTCTGTGTGTTTACACATATACCAGTAATTAATCTGTCTCCTTCTCATCCCAAAATAAAGGCTGTACGTGTAACACAGCCTACACATTTTTTATGATCCTTCTGTGGTCTTTTCATGTCATAAGACGTTATCCTTAGAAAATCCTTTAGACAAGAGAGGATGCAGCACGAGTCCCGCAGATTGTAAAAACAGATACAATTCTTCATGGCTTTGCTCGGGGTATGACCTGCTGTTCCGATTGCTAATTCCCTCAATTTCTCCAGCACAAGGGAGAGAGACCCACTTGTTCGCTGTTCCTGTTAAACGCGCTCTTGAGATTTAAATGCAAAAGTAAATAAATGTATTGATTACTCGATTGATTGGTGATCCACGTCTCTTTTCCACAGCGTGGGTCATTTCTAACTCCGTAACAAGGTCATATCATGAACAGTAAATGCACAGGCCTCTTTTTTTCTTTTCTTTCTGCTTGAGTGAAGACTTGCAAGCTATGGCCGAGACTAGGAAAATCTTGCGCACTTTATTTCCTCTCCAGTTTAAAATGTGAAATTACCCTTTTGGTTATGGAAGTGGAAGATGGGGACGCTTAGAATCCAAACCGATTCCTATACAAATAAAATATAATTAACACAAAAATCGTTTTTTTCCAAGTAATGCGAATTTCAACGTATTTGATGACTTCTCGGAAGTCAGTGGAGATCGTAAAAAGTAGTGCAGGATCGTGTAACCCTGTGAATTGAATTTACTATTTAAAATATTTGTGTAAACATGAGATGGACACCATTATAAAATTGTTGCTGTGTCCCGTCTGTTTTTTTTTTAGGGCAGCGCAGCTAATACAATATTTGTATTCGTACAGTATGCATTTCAACATCTGGTGGTACGGACAGACTTTGGTAATTTTCCAAATACATTTACCCTTGCCTCAACGTTGGTGATTATTGTAAATTAAGTGGACCTAGACGTGTTACTCATAAACCATTTGAAACCCTTTAATTTGAAGAAAATACTTCAGTTCTCATTTTGAATTTCATAACTAGTTACAACTTAGTTCTTAAGATTCCCGGGGCTAATAAATAAACCTGACAAATGCTTTGGCATCATGACCTATAACGCTCAGAGAAGACGGTGTTCTGCGCGATTCTGTGCTAAAATCAACACCCACTGACAATTGCAGGTTTTGTTTCTTATCCCAAAGCGCTGGCTTGCCGCTTTAACTCCACCTCGCGTTAACAAGGACAGGCTAACTGCTATCGATTATCGGTTTCTAACGCACAGCGGTGTCGTTCCTCTTTAAACAATCGACAATACTGTTTATTAAGTCTTTATCAGGAGCTACATCCTTCATGCCCCGGTCATGAATTGTGAACAGCCCCAGCTCCTAAAATGTAGGCCCCACCATCTTTGCAGCCAATTATAAACCTTGGGTAAAAACTGTTCCCCCGATTCATGCAAAGTCTTCTGAAAGGCACACGGACTGCTTTAAATCGATACTTTTTCATTTCTTTGCGCCTATTTTGATCTGTAAAATTTCCATTTTATTTGAGAGAACCATACTTTCTACAACCTCCTACTAGATGTACATTATTGCTAGCTACAGAACTGTAGAATAGACAAAAGAGGTCGGTTTGAATTATTTTTTAATAAGAACTTTTTTAATAGAGTTATATATGTGTGTGTGTGTATTGGACGTGTGGAGTGGGCGTACGAATCCTGAAATATAGGCGTGCTGTGCATTTATCAGCGAGTGAGGCGTTTTTATTCCTTAAGATAAACATTCCCCACCTGACGCGTAAACACGCTGAACAAACACAGCCGGGAGATTCTGGCTGAATCTTCGGATTCTGGCTGCAATAAAGACTGAATACAGTGATTATGTGTCGCGAGTCTCAATGAGTTTAACTAGGTTACTAGTTCTCCTCCGTTCGTCTTCTCCATCTCCCTCTCTCTCGTCTGTTCACACTGTGCTCACTTCATCTGGCTCACAAAATGAATACTTTCTTGTGCAATGTTCACCTTTCCCAAAGAAAAGCGCACAGTGCTGTGTTTTAAACATATTCCCTCATCGCCCTCCTCTCTGGAGCAGTGCAGGCCATCACAGAAGTAAGGGAACGCGTTCACTCGCCTTCACTGCCAAAAGATCTCCAGATTTAAGTTCGGGAATGAAATCGTATAAGCATCAAAGACACCAAAACGATTGGCAAGAAAAATACAAAATAAAAATCATTCAGGCAATGATTTGTCATTATAATTTACTGTCTGGAAATGCTCAGACAATTTTAAAATGAGGCTCGAGATTGTACATGCTATTTTATGCAATCTAAATTACTTCTATTTGCATGTTACGTTTTTATGTCCTTCTTAGGTTTGAGATGCTCATATATCGTACAGAGAAAAACGATTCTGACAGTGTCCGTTTTTATCATTGCTATAAATCCGTTATATCTGGATTTCAATAAATTATAATTTGTATCTAACCGTGCACAATTGAAGTAGCCTTAAAGAATTAAATACAAGTCTCTACTCCACGTATTTCCTTGTTCGGAAATGACTTGCCTTTCGGGTAACTTCTGACCTATTATTATCACCAGTATTAGCAGCAGAGGGCCCGAGATATAAAAATGTGACTGACAGCTGTCAGACTGGGACTCGGTGCCCCGTTAGCCTTGGCCAGTTGCTTCTCGCCGAGTTCCACCTGCCTCTCTCTCCGTCCCTCTTGGATGTCACTACGGAGCTCATTTGTCATTTGCGAGACACTGAAGAATACAGACTCCAGACTAAAGGCAATTTAACTGCTACTTTAGCCTCACCTAGCCACAGCTTTTGAACTGAATGGCGAGTAATGTTAATTGAGCACCAGCTTCAGGATCACTTTACCAGATGCAGTGGGGTTCACTTTCTACAACCGCAGCTGAACTTTTCTCAAAACGTACGAGCCATGAGAATCATTCAAACTCCAACATATCATTGGATTTGCAAAATAAATCAGGCGCACAGAATGTGTTTTTGCCTTTATCGAGACGGTGATTTAGCTGCTGTACACTAAAGTAAGCTTCCACGTGCACTTTGGAAACCACTGTATCAAAGTGTCTTTTCACCTTTTAAAGGGAAAATAGTTTAATGCAACTACTGAGTTAATGACCGCTAATTAATTACTTACTGCGAAAATTAAGTGATTTGCTGGCTGCCTGCTACAGTGTGCATAAAAGATAGCAAGATCTCGCGAAACACTTTTAGAAAAGCTTACCTTTTTTAAGGACAAGGCTCCGTTTCTTCGGTGCGCAGTTCTGTAACGGTTTCAAGGGCGTGCATCTCCACGCCAAACCCCTCAGTGCGTTTAAGGCTGAGAAAAAGAAAAGCAAATCACTTTAGCCATTAAAGAAATTTTGCGAATATATAGTCGATAACTTCAGACTTTCGCATGAATTCCAATATAAATAATAAAGTGTATTTTATTTTTAGAAAATATAGCACTTTATGATTTCTTTAAAAAATAGATCTTTTTATTTTATATTATTTACGTATTAAGATATTGATTTTTGATGTGATAAAGGGAAGGCTATAAGACAATATGATTTTAGCATTTAACTGCCTAGTGCAACTTTAAAAACATACATTATCTAAAGGTCTGCTTTGTTTAGTGTTATCGTTTTAAGTAAATGGTTGTTAATACTTTACTGGATTGGAGCACAGAACAACATTAAATTACGTGTTGTGATACAGAATCTACCATGCTTTTAAACTGCGTGGTGTTGTTTACAATACCTTTATTATTTATATCCCACTTGAATCAATGAATTAACAGCGGAACTGTCAACTGAGCTCAATTAAAATGGAATTATGCAAATCCTGACAAATTATCACGACGAATTTGGTTTAATTATTTCTCCTAAATAATGTATATATCTTAAACCTGTAATATTGTAACAAGTCGTTCTGTGTATGCCTCCTCTCGTTTATCAGAGCAATGTGTTTAGTTATGATCTGGTAGTTCCATATTTCACTGTTGTGTGATTTCCTGAAAATGTTACTCACTATCAGTTAGTTTTACATCTAAATACAGTAAATAAAAAGTGGTTTATTGCTCCGCGTATCATTGAGTGACAAAGAAACGATGGACAATACCACACATGAAATATAATGAAATTGAGGACCTTATCACTTCACTTTTTATGGAGCAGCGATGATGATGGTACTAATAGTAATTATTATATATAATTAATAGATGGCTTTTGGCAGATAGCACTGTAAAAACCAGCAAATAAAATTAATCAGTGTGTTTTTCTTTAATCTTTTAGGAGAATGTTTCCTACGTTTCAAGTTAAAATTTTTGGAATGGATCCTATGGGAGACTACATGCTCTTAATGGATTTCTTACCAGTAGACGATAAACGATACAGGTAAGCTAAGCTGAAAGCAAACACACGATAAATACGCAGAAGGACGAGCAAATACTCGCATGGAAAATTTGAAAGAGGGCTCTCCTTTTGTGATCAATTTAGCACTGCCCTTTCTGCACTTACAATGTAATTCTGCTGTACTACTGCAATCGCCATCATCACGGTCGTCTTCGTTTCCGTGTTGATTAAAAAGCT